CGAGAGAGGCAGCGACACAGAGAGCGTGCGCGCGCGCGCGCGAGAGAGAGAGAGAGAGAGAGAGAGAGAGAGAGAGAGAGAGAGAGAGAGAGAAAGAAAGAGAGAGAAAGAAAGAGAGAGAGAGAAAAAGAAAGCGAGCGAGCGAGAGAGAGAGAGAGAGAGAATAACACAAAAAACTGAAACCCGCTAAAACCTTGAACGAACGGAGTTAGGAACAAGAAAAAAACACACACACACATCGGTGAAATTTCGAACAATTTGACACGCTTCTCTCTGCGCTTGTGTGCCCCTCAATGCATGCGTTCGCACAATTACGACAACCTTGTCTCTCGAATTTTCGTTCCTAGTCCGAACGCATTTGCTTAATTCGTTCCTTATTATGTCGCTAACCGAGCGCATAAATAAATTTGTTCTCGCACGCGAAAGTTCGTGGCCGTAAACATTTTATTAGGTTACGGCTTCGCAGACGATTAGATAACGATTTCAAGCTAAACCGCGTCATTCTCTCGCTCGCAAATATTTCGCTCGCGGAAGGTTCGTGTAGCAAAGATGGCGGCCAACACAAGATGGCCGCCGCCGCCATCTTGTTTTGTTTTGCGGCGGCGTCTTCTGCGAGGTTGTTTCCATGGCAGCGCGTAGGTTTGGAACTGCATGCGTTCGAACGGAACAATTACGGAACAATGAGAATTTCACGTGAATAGTTTGAACACGAAGCAGACGATAAATAGAACAAGAGTTTAAAAGAAAGCAGACTCGTAACTGTTGCAAACTCTGCAACTAAGAAAAAGAACGCGAGTGCGTCCGTCCGCCCCGCAAAGACAATACGTGAATTAAAGCAGTGAATTGAAGAACAATGTTGCAAGCGCCAGCAACTAAACACACCGAGCCATTAATGTGTTTTTATAACAAATTTGATCTTAATTAACAACTCTGGAATTGTTACTCAGTGACGGCAGAAGAAAAAGAAAATGGAGGAGGATGAGGAGAAGAAGAAGAAGAAGATGGAGGAGGAGGAGAAGAAGAAGAAGAAGAAGAAGAAGTAGAAGTAGAAAAAGAAAAAGAAAAAGAAAAAGAAGAAGAAGACGAAGATCGAAGAAGAAAAAAAGAGAAGAAACGATCAGAAAGAGAAGGAGTCCAACCACCACATTTGATCTTAGGCTCACACCGGAACGAAACGTACTACGGACAAAAAACATACACTATACATAGAATCTCGAACACTCTTTTACAGGTCAGCAAAGATGTACACCGATGCACTGGATAAACACTAGTGTTATCAATCGGTTGTAATTTTTAAATCGATCATCGGTTGGACCCAAGTAACCGATGATCGGTTACAATCGGTTACTCGGGGTGTTGAATGCCTGCGTGTGCGTAACGTCGTGCGCATGTACGTGTGTGCATGTATGTGCTTGTTTAGCCCTGTTTACTGTTTGTTTTGCACTGTTTACTACTGTGTGTATAATACATGTATGTTATTAAAAGATAACTTGTATAGTAGCGATGATATCTCTGATTCTCATCACTTTTTCAAGCTTTCTTGTTCAAGTTAAAAAAATAATAATAATTCCTTTTTTTCGATGAAAAATCGATTATGGATTTTGATAACCAAGCGCTTGGTTCGAGCCACTGTTCAACCGATGATCGAGTATAATCGATGATCGTGACATCACTAAGCGCTTGGTTCGAGCCACTGTTCAACCGATGATCGAGTATAATCGATGATCGTGACAACACCTCAGACAGCTGCGAGTCATGTCCCTCTCTTCGACCCACAATCTTGCGTCTGCGCCCGTGTGCATACTTCTCTCTGTGTCCGTGTGTATGCAAGGTTGTACTTGGCGTGACGTATAGCGGGTACCGGGCAATACCGCGTATATATATAATGAGTAACGATAGAGCAAGACGCAAAAGCAAACCCACGAACTAGTGACGTAACGTACCCACAAACACGTATATTGTGAGCCATGATAACAGTGAGTGACAAATAAGCAGTGACGCGTACAAGGGACGTGGCAAACAGCAGAAAGATGCGATATGATATGACTACTAGGCACTTTAATTTAATTTAATTATTTTTTTTTTAAGTGTTAGGGTTAGGGTTAACGTTAGGGTTAGGGTTAGGGTTAGGGTTTTTTTTTTAAGTGCCTAGTAGTCATATCCTAAGTGCCTAGTAGTCATATCATATCGTATCTAACTGCCGGGTGCGGGACGTGCAAGACAACAGTCGGGTAGAACAACACGGGAGAGGAGTTCTCCCGCTCAAAGCGCGGCGCGCCTTTTATATGCACCCGGACTTTGTGACCGACATCCGGGCATTCTCTTCTCACCTCCTGAGCTTCGCCAGGTCGCATCCCTATACGACCCGCGAATAAGCGTTGCTTCGCGTGCACCGCGTGCCCCCTCCCCGCACTCCACCTGCCGACCACGCAGTGGTTCATCTGCTGCACCGATCTGGTTAGTTATTAAACACCTCTGTACGCTCTGTGCGCGACACCTCTGCTTGCTAGATGTCCTGCATAATTAATGAGTTCGCGCAATGCCAGAGATGCCAACCACTACGATTTATCCGTATTTTATACGAATTTCTATTCCTTTTGCACCACTACGACACCCGACTCAGTCGCGTAGTGTGTCCACAGAGTCGCCCGACTGTGCGGGCCGGCTCGATCGCATGAAAAATCGCGTAGTGTGTCCACAGCTTAACGAGTCTAGGGAGTCACCTACGCCTACTCCCTAACCCTAACCATATCCAATAGTTACCAGGGTACGTTCCAGGGTACGTTCCGGCAGGTAACCTGGGAGACATAGTCTAGACCCTATGACTATATGACTATGAGTATGACTATGAGCGTCACTATACCGTAACACCATAAATCATAACAATTTAATATACAACGAGGTAAACGTCTATGGTCTAACAAACATTGAAACAAGTACACAGCACTATATTTTTCTATATTCACACGAATTCGATTAGCTGTAGTGTAGTGTAACGCCCCTCACAGTGGAAAGTTAGCGGAATGCAATTGTAAATAAAGACGGAAATCCAATGCATGTGGACAGGTCACAGTGAAGGTGCCCAAGTATTGCAAACTTACGTCTCTTTTTGCGGACGGTAGGCTGAACTGACATTTTTCCCGAGATTACAGGGGACGGCCATTGGTCATTCCCCTCCATGTGTGAGGTAGGTGTTGCAGGAGGAGACGAAAGCACAGAAACGTCTCCCTGTTCATCTTTGATAACCGTATTTATACTCATACTCATAGTTGTTTGGCGTGGCAGCGCCGCTGCGACACAGATCTTGCCGTGACCCCGGAGTCAGCGAGGTCATGACACTGCCACCTGCCACCGCGGGTAGAACCGCAAAAATACATCATGGTGCGATATATAATTGCATTGTGTCATAGTTTAGTTTAGGTTGAATTAATGCTGAAATTCTACGGCGTTTTCTCGCTTACCGTTTTGTTATTTATAGTACTGCTAGGTATTTTTTAAACGTGAAAAATCATTATTAATGTGTCCCGCGCGTCGGCGCTGCAATCGGTTTATTTAGACTGGTACCCAATCCCACTTCTCGGCTTAGATAATCGAGTAATCGAGTAATTGAGTAATCGAGATTGGAGCGACAACCAGTCTATCGGTTTGTTTTGACGGAGGACGGAGCTATCGTAGTTTCGTACGGTTATTTCCCTTCTGCAGTTGTACGGTGATTCCCCTTCTCTGTACGGGGATTCCCCGTTTCTGGACGGTGATTCCCATTTCTGCACGGTGATTACCTTCTCAATGACTGGTTCAGGTGGTTGTGTCTTGTGATCCGCAACGACAACGTTCTACCATTCCGTCGAGTTCGCACTTCTTTCAAGCGACAAGTGACAAGCGATTAATTTACACCTTGTAATTTTGTCAACTAAAACTGTAAAAGTAAAACTGAACCTTTGCAAGTTCTTGTTATGGTACTGGTAGTGGTACTCACTGTGTAAGCCGGTAAGTCATTGAAGTCGTTCATGTAAATATTCGTGTAGTATAAAACTGTTTAATCAATGTGATCTAATTACGTAGGCCTACTACCGTACTACTACTACTAGTACTATGATTAGTATCTTGTATCTTGTATCTTGGGGTCCCTCTCTTGTATTTCACAAGGCACAGATTCTCTCTTTGGAATGTGCGGGGAATGTATTCTTATTCTTCTTATTCTGTCTTATTCTTCTTTCTTCTGATTCCTTATTCTTTATTCCTTCTTATTCTTATTCTTATCGCAGTGGCTACGCGTCCGGAACCGGTCGCCTAGCCTCCAGGCTACGCTACGTCAGTACGTGTCCGGACATCCACTCACACAGTGATCGCGCAGCTCGCGTACACGCATGATTGCGCAACTCGCGTACACGCATGATTGTGCGGCAACGACGACTTTGTGCTGGCCGTCTAATCCTTTCATCATCTCTCTCGAATTCTCTCTCTCAACCACACACACACACGCGCAGCTCATCTCTCTCTCTCTCGCTCTCTCTCACACACAATTTGTTCCGGAGCTCTTTCTCAGTCGCTCTCTCTCTCTCTCTCTCTTCTTCTTCTCTTCTCTCTCGTTTCTCTCTCTCACACATACAGCACACACATACACCATTCATTCCTCTCTCTCTCTCTCGACACACAGTAGGAGATTCACGTACAGAGCAATCAGCAGATCGTACCCATTGCGCATCATGTGTTACAGTGCAAGCTACTGTGTAAGAGGGATTCGGACGCGTACCTAGCGGCTCCTTCGTCCGGGACCGTCCGCGTAGGCCACAGCCTATTCTTATTCCTTCTTTATTTCTATCTAATTCGCTTCTTCTTCTTATTTTCTTATTCTTCTTATCTTATTCTTATTCTTATTAGCAGTCAGTTCAGGGTAGTCAGCCTTTAGCCAAATGACTGAGGGTCACAGCAAGTTCTTTTTGCATACTCAGTGGTTATTTTCCGTCAGATTGATATATTCACTGGAGACGGACTTGCATCTTTACGTGGTCATGCCGAGCACGGTCATACTGCTAGGTAAGAAATACTAGCAGTGTAGACCAATCGTGCACAGCTGTCGGGGCTACCTAACACTACCTTTGTCCGCAAATGCAGACTTATTATACCAAAATATGCAAGCCTACATTACACTAGCTACATTTGACTGATTAGGAGCTAGCATGCATATGTGTTTCGCAAAACAGTGAGTCTCATATTTCAGGATATTCGCTGTACATTGCCTGCATACACTGCGCCATTCGCCTTTTAGTTTTTATGATGACGACATACCAATAGATTTTACTGTTGTTTTGTATTACATGGACTGTCTGAGGCCGATATCGACGTTACATAATGACGCTTGTAAAATGACGACTTTGCGGGGCATTAAAAATGATTTATCGTTAGATGAAAATGGGATTGGACTTCCATGACGACATAGCGAATTAAGAATTAGATGATGGCTCCTATGCGAGTTTACTGTATAGTTATTATTATCTCGGGAACAATAAATCCAAAAGTGCACCTGTCAGGCCAGCAAGAGTTAAGCACCAAAGATGATAAATAAAGTGTGGTGAAAGAAGGTTGATTATAACACCGGTGTAATAAGTGACAAGTCCTCAATACGATATGATACGTCTATGCACAGTATTATTAAAAGCATATATTATATACGACAATTGTGTTGTGATGTAAAGCAATGTGCTTTGTTTTTTGGATTTCTTGCGCCATACTTGTGAATATACTATCTATATCGCACACAGTAGATAGGTCGCTTTTTGCATGTTTTTTTGCACACGCCAAGATATCCTATACTAGTACAGTGCGAGATACCAGCGCTGTGCCAAACGTGACTTGGTCTCAGGCAACTAGGCCTTGGTTATTATCAGATCTGTTGTCCTTGTGCCACAAGAGCAATTTTACTTTTCCAATTAAGATTTTTCCTGCGACACGGTGTCGGGGCTGCTTTTTTCAGCACCATGAAAATACAATTGAGAATGTTTGTGCGATGCGTGCCGACTCAAATATTTAGCAATGTTAAACAACTGGAATTTTCAGTTTTGTCTGAGAC